TTATTTTCATCATTTCAATTCAATTATTATTTTCTACAATTTATAGCTAAAATTCTTCTTTAAATCAATTTATAAAAAATTTGTAAATAATAAAATTCCTGTGAAATAATTTTATTATTTATGAAAATAATTAAACGTTTGCGTAGAATTTTAATAAAATTTCTTTTAAATAATTGAATTCTTTTGGAGAATTTTATTAAAATAGTAGATATTGAATATTATTGAATTTAGGAAAATTTTTGCAAATAATTGAATTTTGAAGAAGAATTTTACTATTTACAAAGAGAATTGAAATTTTGACGAAAATTTTTGTAAATTTTTAAACATAATTGGATTTTAGTGTTTTTAACTAAATTTCCTTGTTATAGTTTCTTTATTTTTAATAATTAATTATTGTCAGAAATGGAAAAAATTGAAAGTTTTGAATTAGAATTTTTGTTTTTCTAGAAAAAATTATTAATAATAATATTTTAATTATTTGAATGTTAGTTAATTATTTTTCTAAAGGTCTGCATTCAACTGTGATGCCTGCTTTTAGAAAAATGTAATTTTGTCTGGAAAAGAGAAAAAGGCTGTAATTTAAATGCAAATAAATAAAATATATAAAAAAATAAATAAATAGGAAATAGTAAATACTAAGAATGATTTTTATTAGTAAAAATAAAATAATAAAAAAGTAATAAGAAATAGTAATAATAATAAGAATAATAAATAAAAACTTAAAAAATATACAAAATACCTTTTAGAAAAAATGTCATTTTGTCAGGAAAAGAATTCATTTCCTCGTTTTTGTTTTTTTTTTCTAAAGAGGGGATTGTTCTTGAAAATGGAATCAAGGAACTTTCTCAGTGAACTTAGATCACCATCAAGTGTACTTTGTCTTGAAATGCAAATTCCTTTCTCTTTTCTTGTCGTAAAAAGCCCCCTCATTGTCTTTTTCATATGGGGTGGTCGGAGTTGATCCAACGAATGTTGTATTATATATATGTATAAATACAAGAAGCCGTGAATATAATACAAAATACAGGGCGCCTCCTTTTATGGGAGATTATCCTCTTTAAATGGTAACTTGCTTAAAAAGTCCCTGAGGCCGTATATATATATATATATATACGAAATGCGACTTACACTCTTTGGCACAATAATACTCATACTCACACGCATATTTTTCTATTATAACTTATATATTGCGAAAAAGTAAATTCAAAACAAGAACAAATTAAATATTCTTCATATTTTGGTCAAATTTTATCCCTGATATCAACTGTCAATGAATTAAAAATGATTTTTCTGGATTTGTTTACGTTTTACTGTTTACCTGATAAACATAACCTAAAATTTTTTTTGACAGATCAAAACAATAAATAATGAATGAAAAAAAGTATCGACAATAAAGTCAAGGTTCAATTCGGTTTAAAAATAGAATTCCATTGTTTAAGAGATTGTTGAAATAATAAGTTTTTTTTAATTAGAGAAAAGACGGTTGTTTTCGCTAATTCCTTGGTTTTTGATCAAATTTACTTCAAGATTCATACAAATTCTTTACTATAACCTAAAGCGTAATTAAATATTTCGTGACAAAAGTCTTCTCTTAAGAAGAGAAGACTGTTATTCAAGTATAAAAATAACTTCTAGAAATAAAGAGAAACGAAAAATTCAAAGCGAAGAGCGAACGAAACAGACCATTTTCTGGAATTAAATATCAGCTGATTGTCATTTTGTCAGTGTTACCAAAACAAAGATGGCGAACGCTGTCACAAAAGTTATTTTACGCTGTGAAGAAGCACAAGAAACCGAGAGTTTAGGTAAAAAAGTATTCAGTAATTAAATAAGTCTCTGCAAAAATTTGTCTACTAAAAATTAAGAAACTAATTTGATTTTAATTTTGAAAAACACAATTGAGTAAAATTCGAGAAATATTTACCATACTAACCTACTTTATCAGAGTTTATTTTTAACTTTCCGTTTTCTCGGTTTTCTAAATTCTTAAATAATTCTAAAATTTAAAAAGCAAACTGCATGATTTTCTAAACAATGTAAATTTGACGAATTTCTTAGTCCTTTTCACGTCCTTTTTTTAATTTCTAGTAAATATTTTCTCTTACTCATTTTGATCGCTTTTTCTGGATTTGATTACCTATAACTTGTTTTTTTTTAATAAAGGATCTATTAAATAATTGATTATCATTGAAAACATAAATATTGCCAAGTTATGCGAGAAATATAGAATAGAGATAAGAATAGAAATAGAAATATAAAAATAACCTAATTTTTTTAAATATAGAAATTATTGGTACGACTGAATTCCAAGATCTGGCGGGAGTTTTCAAACTGTAAAAAAAGTACTATTTTCAAAAGTACAATATTTCTCTTCGAAAATTTTGGTCAAATTTGATCTAATTCAGAAAATTTTTTCTAGAAATTAAAAATTGTAATACGTAATAAATATTAATTGTTATTAAAAAAAACTTATTTATGCTGTAAATAAAAGAAAGAGAATAGAAAAATTGCAAAAAAAAAAAAAATCGACTCAAGTGAAAATGAATTTGAATTCCTGAATTAGAATGTAAAATCTAAACAATGGTATTTAATTCGAAGTAAAAACAAATTAGTAGCGTTGAATTATTTGCGGAAACTCACACACGATCGTCTTAACGAGTCAGTGCACCCGGAAACATTTTTTTTTCTTTTTTTTTTGTAGGGCAAGTGAACTATGTACTAATTTATGTTCATATGCACTGTAAATAAAAACTGAATAATCCTCCTTGGTCTAATGAGCAGTATTTAAAGTTAGATATGTTTTATATCAAAGCTTACGTGCTGTAAATAATTCTGGTGAAAGTATAAAGAAATCAAGACCGTGGACAGAATTTGTTTAAATACATAAGGAAAAATAATTATCGACCAATAAAATTAATTAACTTAATAAAAATTTATCTTTCGTGTACACGAAAGATTTTTCTTTCGAAATCAATGAAAAAAAAAATATCTAATTTGTCGATTTTCATTTGAAATTAATTAAATTATTTAGAATTGAAATTTAAAAATTAATTAAATTAATTAAATAATAAGAAAATTTGATTTTCAAAATTATTTTCGGTTTTTAGTTTTAAAATTTAAATGACAAATGAAATTTAAAAATTTTCAAAGTGTATAATTATAATTTAAAAAATTAATTTTTTTTCGTTAAAATCAATAAAAGCGAAACTGAATTTGTCGATTTTAATTTACTCTAAATTTAAATTATTGAAATTTTTAAATAGAAATCAAATTTAAAAATTAATTAAATTATTTAAATATTACAAAAATTTGGTTTTCAAAATTATTTTTTGTTTTGAATTTTCAAATTGAAATGAAAAATAAAATTTCAAATTTTTCATTAAATAAATTTTCAAAGTGAAAAATTATAATTTAAAAAAATCAGTTCTTTTTCGTTAAAATAAATAAAAGAGAAACTAAATTTGTCGATTTTAATTTATTCTCAAATGAAATTTTAAAAACTATTTAGAAATAGAATTTAAAAATTAATTAAATTAACTAAATAATAGAAAAATTTGATTTTCAAAATTTACTTTCTGTTTCGAATTTGAAAATTGAAATGACAAATTAAATTTCAAAATTTTTAAAAAGAATTTTAAAAGTATAAAATTGAATTTAAAAAAATTTATTTTTTATTCGTTAAAATCAATAAAAACGAAACTGAAAATTTGTCAATTTTAATTTATTCTCAAATAAAAAAATGATTGAAATTTTTTAGAATTCGGATTTAAAAATTATTTAAATATGAATTAAATAATACAAAAATTTGATTTTAAAAAATTATTTTCTGTTTTGAATTTGAAAATTGAAATGACAAATTAAATTTCAAAGTTTTCAAAATGCATTTTCAAACTATAAAATTGAAAGTTAAAACATTTGTTTCTTATTCGTGAAAATTTTTAAAAATGAAACTGAAAATTTGTCGATTTTAATTTATTCTTAATTCAAATTATTGCAATTATTTAGAATTCAAATTTAAAAATGAATTAAATTAATTAAATAGAACAAAAATTTGAATTTCAAAATTTTTTTCTGTGTCAATTTGAAAATTGAAATGACAAATTAAATTTCAAAATTTTTAAATGAATTTTCAAAATGTAAAATTATAATGTAAAAAATCAGTTTTTTTCGTTAAAATCAATAAAAGCGAAACTAAATTTGTCGACTTTAGTTTATTATAAATTGAAATTATCGAAAATATTTAAAAACATTTTTCAAAATTATTTTCCTCATGAATTTTGAAATTGAAACGAAAAATTTAATTTCAAATATTTCCTACTTGAATTTTCAAAGTACCTATAAAATTTTCAAATTGTAATTAAAAAAAATTGCTTTTATTTCTTTTGAAATAAAAATTTGTCGATTTTAATTTATTTTCTAAGTTTGTAATTATTAAAATTATTTAGAATTCGAATTTAAAAACTTTAATTTTCGAAATTATTTCTCACATTGAATTTTTTAATTATTAACGAAAAATTAATTTCAAAATTTTCAAACAGAATTCTCAAAGTAGAAAATTATAATTAAAAAAACTATTCTTCAAAATCAATAAAAAGGGAAATTAATTTGTTGATTTTAATTTATTTTCTGAATTTAACTTACTGAAATTGTTTAGAATTCGAATTTAAAACTATTATGTAATTATCAAAATTTTCTAAATTGAACTTACTGAAATTATTTAGAATTCGAATTAAAAAATATTAATTTTCAAAATTATTTTCTGAATTGAATTTACTGAAATTATTTACGAATTCGAATGAAAAAATATTAGGTAATTTTCAAAATTATTTTCTGAATTGAATTTACTGAAATTATTTGCAATTTGAAAATAATAATTTTAAAAATTATTTTTCGCATTGAATTTTGAAATTGAAACGTAGATTTAATTTCAAAATTTCCAAATTGAATTTTCAAAGAATAAAATTATAGCTCTAATAATTAAAAAAAATGTTTTTTTTCAGATCTCTCGGAATGTCAACTAATGCAAGTACCTGACGCTGTCTATCATCTGATGAGACACACAGAATTAAAAAAATGCGATCTCTCTGGCAATGTAATTACAAAAATTCCACCAAAATTTGCTGTCAAATTTTCGTTAATAACAGGTAATGAAGAAACATTTTAAATTAATTTGTTGCTCTTTCCATTTTTCCGAATAGAAATAAAATTTACATTTTTTTCTCTATTTTCAGAATTAAATTTGAGTCACAATCAAATGAGCAAACTACCCGAAGAGCTTGCCGAATTGCAAGCTTTGGAAAGACTCGACATTTCTCACAACACTTTTATTGCTCTGCCTACTGTGGCTTGTAGAATGTCACAATTAAAACGATTACTCGCCAACAATAATTCAATCATTGGTAAATAATTCGCTTTTCATTTATGAAACCAAAGCAAAAAGAAAAAAATTAATTCTCAGAAAGTAAATTTTTTCAAACTGATTTTTCAAAATTTACTTTTTGAGAATTAATTTTTTCAAACTGATTTTCAAAATTAAGTTTCTGAGAATTAATTTTTAAAATTAATGAAAAAAATATTTAAAATAAATTCAATAAGTAAAACAATAATTCTTCAAAAATTAAATTTTGAAAAGTCAATTTGAAAAAATTCAAAAAAACTAAAATTAAAAAAAAAGAAAGAAAATTAAAGAAGTCCAATGTCGAAAAAAGCAAATGTTTAAAATCAACAATAAATAAAGCAATAATTCTCCAGAAATTAAATTTTGAAAAAATTGGAAGTTTACTTTAATTAATTAATTTCTTGATTTGATTATCTGACTAATTAAAAAAAAATACAATTTCCAAAAGAAATAGATGTTTGATAATTTTGAAAAAAAAAAAAAAAAAAAACGATTGTTAAAAATTCAGTTACAATTTGGAAAGTTAAATTTTTTAAATAAAGAAAAATTCATTTTCAAAAACTTGAATGATCGTTTCATTTTCAAAATATACAGAAATTCAATATTCTTTTTTCGACATTGATTAAAAATAATAAATATAGATAATAAATTTTGGAAAAAAAATGTTGTCACTCAGCTGAATTTTTTCATTCTTTACAATATAGAAATCGACGTTGAAAGGTTGAAACTCTCACCAGCATTGGAATTCATCGACTTGAAGAATAATCCGTTAACCGGCAGATTGCATGACTTGCTTGGGTCCTTTGCGAGGATACAAATCGAAATTTCGCCACGACAACTCGAAGACTGGGAAGATCTCAGCGTTTGAGTACTTTTTCTATTTTTTTTAAATAAAGGCCAATTTTCAGGCTTTTATTTCAAAAGTAATATGGAAAACACATTACTGCCTCTGTTCTTGATTAATTTCCAGGACACTGCAAAGGCAAATTAGAAGAAAAGAAAAACGAAAAAAAAGATTAGACAGAATTTTGTACAGTAAAAAAAAAAAAGAAAAAGAAAAAGAAACGTAGAAAAACCAATTTGAATATATATACACATTTTTCTGAAACTTTAAAATCGTTAAAGATTTTTTTTAACGAGAATTTTTACAAGTTTTTGTACAAATAATCAGAAAATATTAAAAATATTGAAAACATTAAAAATATTGAAAATATTAAAACTTTTTGAAAAATCGTTGAAAATATTTTTTTTTGATGAATTTTTTCGTAAAATACTTAAAACGCAAAAATTGTTCAAATTTTTAGAATTTTTTTTACATATAATGAAACTATTGAAAAATGATTGATGAATTTCTTTAATAAATTTATCGAAAAGCATTTTTTACATTTAAAAATATTTAATTTTGATATTTTGTACAAATTGCAATATTTTCATATTGTAAAATATTGAAAAAAAATAAGAATGAATATCAATATTTGAATATCATTCGAAACAAACGAAATCGAAATACATTAAAATATGAAACGAAAATATAAATAAATTTCAAAAGACCATTTGAATAAAAATTCATAAAAAATAAATTTTCAATAAACTTTTAAACGAAAATAAATTTCGACGATAAAAAAAAACTTTCGAATTATATTATTTGGTAATTTATAATAATTACCAAATGAATATAAAATGATAATTTTTCAAATTGGTTTTTACGATCGATTGATGAGTGAATTTTGGTGACGATAAACACCAAAAATGAATCACCACACCTGATATTTTTGTGACTAACAAAGTACTTATTAACATTTCGGTTAATTACCTTCGACTGATTTATTACTATCGCAACTTCCATGACGAGTCGTGCGGAGCTTTTATTTTTTCTTCTTCTTTTCAAATACCTCAACTACTCTTAAGATCAATTTTCCAAATTTTCAAGCAAGCTCCGCCAAGCTGTGATTAAAATATTAAGTAAATAATTGATTCAGTTTCCTTCAATATTGGAAAATTGCATTTTGAATGTCGTCGATTCTTTTTGAATTCTGCAAAAAAAAAAAAAAAAATGTGAACAAAAAAGTTCAAGATTAATTTTTGTATACAAAAGAGAAAAATTAGATTTTATATTCAAATATTTATAATATATTTCATATATTTGGAGTGTAAAATTTATTCTTCTTCTATTTCTCAAATTTTATCTGAATCAATCTCAAGTCTCGTCAAACGCTAACATTATTATTTTTTCTCTGGTAATTGTTACCAAACGTAACTCGTAAGTTTGATTTCTCTTTTACTATATTTTTTAAGACAAAACAAAATCAAGTTTGATATAAATAATATAAATATGTATATGTGTAAATCGTAATATTTACGTAGGAAAAGTAAAAAGAAAAAAGTATGTACTGCCAATGTTAATACAAAAACCGTTGGTGCCTTTTTTTACAAAAGAAAAAGAGCGAAAAATAGATAAAGAAAACGATTAAAAAACGGACTTTTAACTAGAATCATCGAATTTTTGTAACGTTGTTCTACTTTCTCAAATTTGTACAATTTAATTTCTATTATTATATACCCATGTGTATTATACTGTTAATATTTGTATATTTAAAAAAAAGTTGTCGAAAATTTTTTTTTATAATTATTAACTCGTCTCACGCGAGTGATATTTTGTATTTGCGATCTAGTCAATTGTCCATGGGACGTGCAATACACCATACACTATACGAGAAAATGTTTTTCTATTTTCTTTTCTATTTCCTGATATCCAATTATATTCCTTGAATCCTCTGAAAAATAAAGAATAGTTCACGATTTTTCATTATTATAAAATAAGATTATCATTTTGATAAATAAATTAAAAATAAACATAATAATAGATAATAACAATTAAATGAAGAAAAAATTTTTAAATCAATAATTAAAATTTTCAATGCAAACAATAGTATTATATTAAAATTTTTGAAAACAATTGAACTGTTTCATAGAATTTTATTAAAATTGTTAAAAAAATTAAATTCTTTCGAGAAATTTAATTAAAATTCTATTGAAAATAATTGTATTTTTCTAAAGAATTTTATTTAAATTTTTAAAAATATTTGAATTCTTTCGAAGAATTTTATTCAAATTTTTGAAAATAATAAAATTTCTTTGAAGAATTTCATTACATTTTGTTTAAATCATTGAATTCTTTTGAGAAATTTCGTTAAAATTGAATTTTTTCTTTATTTTAATTTCTTTTTAATATTAATTGAATTCTTGCAAAAAATTGTATTATTCATAAAAATCATTGAATTGCTTGGAAGATTTTTACTAAAATTTTAAAATTTTTGTCAATAATTGAAATTCCTGAAAATAATTTTATTTTTTAAGAAAATAATTGAATGAATTCAATAAATTTTAATATATTTTTCAAATCATTGAAATTTTTTGGAAGAATTTTATTAAAATTTAAATTCATTCGAAAAAATTAAATAAAAATGAATTGAAAAATTGAATTTTTATGAGAAATTATTATTTACAAAAATAATTGAATTCTAACGAAGAATTTTATTATTTATAAAAATAATTGAATTCTTGCAAAGAATTTTAATATTTATGAATATAATTGAATTGTTTCGAAGATTTTTATACTAAAATTTAATTAAAAATAAATGAATTCCTGAGAAGAATTTTATTTTTTACGAAAATAATTCAATTCTTTGGATAAATTTTGTATTATAATTTTTGAAAACATTTGAATTATTTGGAAGATTTTTATTAAAATTTAAATTCGTTCGAGGAATTTTAATAAAATTCTATTGAAAATAATTGAATTTTTATCGAAATTTATGAAAATATTTGAATTCTTTTGAAGAATTCTTTTGAAAGTTTTGAAAATAATTGAATTTCTTTGAAGCATTTCTTTAAATAACTGAATTCTTTCGAATAATATCGTTAAAATTGTATTGAAAATAATTAAACTCCTGCGACAAAATTTATTATTTATAAATACAATTGAATTGCTTCCAAGATTTTCACTAAAATTTTTGATAATAATTGAATTCTAGAGAAGATTTTTACTTTTTACGAAAAGAATTGAATGCTTTCGATAAATTTTATTACATTTTTTCAAATTATTTGAATTTCTTGGAAGAAATGTATTAAAATTTCTAAAAATAATTAAATTCATTCGAAGAATTTAATTGAAATTGTGCTGAAAATAATTGTATTATTTTGAAGAATTTTATTATTTATGAAAATCATTTAATTCTAGCCAAGAATTTCATTAAAATTTTTGAAAATAGTAAATTAGAATAAACTAATTAATTTGTTAATAAGTAAATTTTTTCAATTTGAATCTGAAATTATCAAACAAATTGAAATTGATATTTGTAAATAAAAAATTTCGGTATTTTAATTATTAATATTGCAATTATTGTTATTATTAATTATAATAATATTAACTGAAGAGAATAATAATAAAATAATAAAAATATTTTTTTATTACATTATATTTATTTCTTTGGTTATTACTTTATTATTATTACCCATTAATATTATTATTATTATTATTAACATAACATTAATTTACAAGATTGACTGTTATTTTAATAATTAAAAAAAATTGTCTCGAAACTTATTTAGAAATCAGGAGTTCCTGCGTAGAATAAAAAAGAACAATTGAATTGTATTGGTTTAGTACCTATATTTTTCTATATCAATGAATAATAATTAAATGTATGAGTCATATAGTTAATTATCTACAATACTTGTCAATGGATAAAAAAAATCACAAAATATACATATACATAGAATGCTATCAACGCTTTCAAAAAATCAGTTCATCAAAAACTGAATTTTTTTGTTCTCAAGCAAAAGCTAAATAATCACACATCAGTTGTGTAATTATTCTTTTCTAAATATTGAGTTTCGAATTAAACTTTTTTATTCATTTTCCTTTTTAAACCAAAACACGATTTAAAAAAATTTTGTTTTCCTAATTGTTCATTTCCTATTGGAAATATCCAAACGTGTGAAAGATTTTTAATTTGGAAATTTTTTTTCGATTTGAAAATTGTTTCTTTTTTTGTTCAATTAGAAACTCATTTTCACACTTTTCGACAGTAATTTTTTTTTCACTATTCAACATTTGTTTTTCTGTTTTTTTAAATTCTAAGTCACAGTTTTATTTTTATTTCTTTTTTTCAGAGAAAAAAGTAATCAACTTCTCTCATGCTTTAGTATATATATATATATATATATTTTTTTTTTTTAGTCGAAGAAACATTTAAACTGCGCCAATAAATTATATTTATATATATATATAAATCTGTGAGTTACAGCATAATCTCAAAAATATGAGCGATGTGCTGACAAGTCTCTTAAGTTTTCTTTTCTTTTTCTTAAAAGCACAGTTTAAGAATTATTTCTAAATTGAAGTATATAAAATACAGGATTTCTATTATAATATAAATTATAAATTGGGGACAAAGTAAAAAAAAGTTTCTTTTTTTCAACTATTGATAAAATTAGGGAAGGAAAATTTGCTTCATTTCTTTTAACTTAACTAATAAACCTTGTCGCTTATCAAAAAAAATTTTTTTTTTTGTTTAACAATTAAGTATATTATTTATAGAAATATTTACATTATACACGTAAGACTAAAAATACGCGACGAGCGGTGATGACTATTTAAAAAAAAAATTTACGTAAAAAAAATGTTTTTTATTTGCACCAAATAAAGAATGCAAAATCATAGATCATGAGAAATTCTCAAGGAATTACGAGTCTTCACCAAAAACAAAACTAAACTATACAGTAAAAAAAAATCCTTTTCATTTCCGGATGGGTGAGATAATTTTTTTTTCTTTTTCATTCTATTTTCTAGTAAATCTAACATTCAACGATCCTCACCTGCTTTGACTAGCTTTTCACTCCGGAATTTAAAGACATTTAGATGAGCAATTCGCAAATTAAAAAAAAATCCTGAGCACGAGGAACAAAATATAACATTTAAATTTGTATAGCTAAAGTCAGATTTAATATTTTCAAAAATAAAAAATAATCGCGAACATAACGAGAAAAAAACGATTTTTTAAAATTTTTAACATTAAAAAATTAAAGTCAGTGAGATTTTTTAACATAAAAAAAACAAAGATCCCCGTGAAAAACTCGTAATTTGTAATTCAACAAATAAGATCAAAACATTCATTCATATTTCTTTCTCTCTCTCTAACTTTCTCTTTCTCTCATTACAAGAGAACCTTTTTCCACAATATTTACAAAAGCTTAAAAAAAATGTAACGATAAAAAGGGCTTTGAGTCGATCTAAATAAATTTGTTTTCTGTTCATTTTTTTTCCCCTATGAACAGAAATAAAGCATTTTTTGAATAAATATCACCTGCAAATATTGCACGCAATTTGAACGAGAAAAAAAGTAAGATTGCATGATCGCGAGGTGAATATTTTTGTTTTTTTAATTTTGTGGCACATAAAGAAAAACCACAGAATGGTTATTCTGGGTAATTTTTTTTTTTCTTTCAAAAGGGATTGAAATAGAATTGTGTTACTTGTTGATGCCAAGCAAATGGTACTTGGATTTTTGTTCCTAGGCCCTGTTGAAGAGTCACTTTCATTTTTTTTTTATTTTTCTTTTTGGGAAAAATATCTTCCACAAAAAAAGAAACAACAGTTTTTTCTTTGTGATTGGAGCGAAATTCTTGTCCACTAGTGACCTGGTTCCGATGGCTAAGTATTGTAGAGATGACATTCTATGTATGATGTGGGAACAAATCCTTCGATTGGCTGTGAAATGCGACGAACCCTCGTCCAACCGTCGCCCGCATCCGCCTCGATCATGTAGAGTTCCTCGCCATCGTACATTGGTATCGATCCTTCGCTGGTTGCTGAAAAAATTACAAAATTCATTGTAAAATAACAAAATTAACAACCAAAAAAAAAATTATGTTATGTTCAAAATTATTACAAGAAAATCTCGACAAAATCCCAATTATTATCTTTATAAATAAAAAAATTCGTCTTTAACATTTAATTATTTTGAAAAAATTTAATAAAATTGTTGTCAAAATTTCAATTATTTTTAAAAAAAATTTCCTCACTTCAATGATTTTCAATATCTAATATTTTAATAAAATTACCCGAAAAAATTCAATTATTTAAAAACAATTTTAATAAAATTGTACGCAAACATTTAATTATTTTCATAAATAATAAAAATTTCCCAGGAATTCAAATATTTACAAATTTTTTATAAGCTTCTTCTCAATAATTCAATTATTTTCATAAATAATAAAATTCATCGCAGAATTTCAATTATTTTTAATACAATTTTAATCAAATTCCTTGAAAAATGTAACTTTTCTAAAAAATGTTATTAAAATTCATCAAAAGAATTCAATTATTTAAAAATTTGTTAATAAAATTCTTTATAAGAATTAAATTTTAAGAAACATTCAATTATTAAATAAATAATTTACTTTTGTATTTAAATAATGAAATAAAATTTAATTAATTTTATAAAACATGAAGAAATCGATCACTCCGAGTCGAAGACTCATGTTTTATAACAATTTTTCATAAGTTGTTTAATTTCAAAAAGGTTTGAATTTGAAATTGAAATTAAGAAATTAAGAATAATAATTGTATTAATAATTCAATTCATTCAAAATACAAAATATTTATTTACAAATATCAATTTTAATTCCTTTGATAATTTCAGATTCAAATTGAAAAAATTTACTTATTAACAAATTAATTAGTTTATTCCAATTTACTATTTTCAAAAATTTTAATGAAATTCTTGGCTAGAATTCAATGATTTTTATAAATAAAAAAATTCTTCAACATAATTCAATTATTTCCAATACAATTTTGTTTTAAATTTCGCGAATAAATTTAAAATTTAATAAAAATCTTCCAAAGAATTCAATTATTATCATAAAAAATAAAATTCTTCTCAGGAATTCAATTATTGTCGAAAATATTTGTAAAAATCTTCGAAACAATTCAATTATATTCATAAATATCAAAATTCTTTGCTGGATTTTAATTATTTTTAAAAATAATAAAATTCTTCGCTAGACTTTAAATATTTAAACAAATTTTTAAAGAAATTTACCTAATTATTTTCAAAAATTTTAATAATTTTTAATTTATTTACTTTTAAGAAATAATTTTCGTCAAAATTTTAATAAAATTCTTTAGAAAAATTCAATTATAGGATTTAAAAATATTAATAACATTCTTCGAAGAAATTTAAATATTCTCAAAAATTTGGATTCAAATTATTTATAAGAATTGAATTATTTTGAATAGAATAATTTCAATTAAATTCATTGAAAGAATTTAATTATTATTTTTAAAAATTGTAATAAAATTCTTTGAAACAATTTTATTATTTTTATAAATAATAAAATTCTTTAAAATAATACAATTATTTTCAGCACAATTTTAATTGAATTCCTCGAATGAATTTAATTATTTTTATAAATTTTGATAAATTTCTTCCAAGAAATTCAAATAATTTGAAAAATTATAATAAAATTTGTCGAAATCTTCTCTAGAATTCAATTATTATCAAAAATTTTAGTAAAAATCTTGGAAAGGAATTCAATTTTATTTAAATAAAATACTTTAAATACTTTGTTAAGTACAATGTACGAAAGGGCTTCAAGCCCGTTAAAAATGAAATAAATAATAAATTTTGTCGCAGGAGTTTAATTATTTTCAATACAATTTTAACGATATTAATTGAAAGAATATAATTATTTAAATAAATTTTAATAAAATGCTTCAAAGAAATTCAATTATTTTCAAAACTTTCAAAAGAATTCTTCAAAAGAATTCAAATCAAAAGAATTCAAATATTTTCATAAATTTCGATAAAAATTCAATTATTTTCAATAGATTTTTATTAAAATTCCTCGAACGAATTTAAATTTTAATAAAAATCTTCCAAATAATTCAAATGTTTTCAAAAATTATAATACAAAATTTATCCAAAGAATTCAATTATTTTTGTAACAAGTAAAAATCTTCTCTAGAATTCAACTATTGTCAAAAATTTTATTAGAAATCTTCTAAACAATTCAATTATTTCTATAAATAATAAAATTCTTTCTTGGAATTCAATATTGTTTTTAAAAAAATTTCTTTAATAATTTTGTCGACAAAATTTAATTATTATCAACAATTTTGAAAAAATCCTCATAACAATTTAATTATTCTCAATTTTAATTAAATTCCTCGAAAGGATTGAATTTTTTTTAAAGATTTTAATAAAAATCCTGCCAAAAGTTCAATTATTTTCGATGCAATTTTAAAATAGTTCTTCGAATGAATTTAATAGTTCTTAATAATTGTAATAAAATTCTTCTGAAAAACTCAATTAAATGCAAAACATTATAATAAAATTTCTTTGAAAAAGATTCAATTATTTTTATAAATAATAAAATTCTTCAAAAGAATCAATTATTATTAATAACAATTTTATTTAAATTTCTCGACTAAATTTAAATTTTAATAAAAAGCTTCCAAACAATACAAATGATTTTAAAAATTATAATGCAAAATTTATCTAAAGAATTACATTATTTTCGTACAAAATAAAATTTTGATCCAGAATTTAATTATTTTCAATACAATTTTAGTATAAAAATCATCGAAACAATTTAATTATTCTTTTAAATAACAAAATTCTTTTCAGGCATTCTTTTTATAAATAATAAAATTCTTTGCTAGAATTCAATTTTGTAATTAAATTTTTTAATAATTTCAGATTCGAAATTAAAAATATTCACTTAAATAACTATCTAAATGTTATTATTTTCAAAAATTTTAACAAATGTCTTTGAAAAAATTCAATTATTCTTTAAAATTTTTTGAACATTTTTTGAAAGAATTTAATTATTTTAAAAAATTGTAATAAAATTCTTGGAATCAGTTCAATTATTTTCATAGTTAATAAAATTCTTTAAAATAATTCAATTACTTTCAGTACAATTTTATTTAAATTCATCGAATAAATTTAAATTTTAATAAAATCCTTTCAAGAAATTTCAATAATTTGAAAAGTTATTAAAAAATTTATCGAATACATTCAATTATTTTTTTTAAAAAATAAAATTATTTTCAGGAATTCAATTATTGACAAAAATTTTAGTAAAAATCTTCGAAGCAATTCGAATGATTTTTATAAATGATAAAATTCTCCGCAAGAATTTAATTATTTTCAAAAAAGATTTAAATTAAGAAAAAATTCAATTTTATCGAAATTTCTCGAAAGAATTCAATGATTTAAACAAATTGTAAAGAAATTAAATTATTTTAATTTCAATTTCAATTATTTCAAATTTAACAATTTTAATAAAATTCTTCGAAACATTTCAATTGTTTTCAAAAAATTTAATATATTTCTTTGCAAGAATTAAAAATTATTTCGGATTCTTTTATTAAAAAATTATAATAAATTTTAATAAATTGAAAAGCAAATAAAAAACTTAAAAAATAATAAAAAGTTAAATAATTAACATAATTGAATTCAAACAAAAGTAAAACTGTAGGACAAATTTATATTTCACATCTCAAAAAAAAGTAATATGCGTAAATAATTAGAAACAAAATAGAGAAAAATTGAAAAGCGTGAAAAAATAGATTACCACTATTATTTCATCTATAAAATAAAATATTTATGTTTTGAGAAACTCACCATCAAAGGGATAGAGAGCACGACAAGTTCCAAGAGGCGGTTGCGCGTCGACCTCATCGATGTAATATTCTTCGCCGCCACTTCCTGGCAGGGACGTCCGAGAAGCTCCAAGACCAGACTCCGGGCTGTTCGTGGAACTGTGCATCAGTAGTGTAAAGCGGAAAATTCGAAATAAAATTCCTAATTCTAATCTACTGTAGTCTTTCGAGACGCTAATTTATACTTTCTTTTCTTCAATAATCTTCCAAGACCTCACGATGTATCTTTTTTTTCTCATTTTAGAACAAAATTTATTATTATAAAAAAAACATTTAGAAAAAAAGTAACAATAATTACAAAACTGACAAAAAATTATAATTTTCTAGTTCAATTTAAAAAAAGGGTATTTTTAGAAGAATTTAGATTTAAATTAAAATTCTTTTTTGGTTTTTAAAATTTTTTAAACATATCGAAAATTAAAAATCGTGTCTTAAAAAGATAGAATAAAATTAAAATTTCAATTTAATAAATAACTTTTCTAAAAATTGAAGTTTTTGATTGAAACTAATCTAAAAATTATCATTGAAATTCTATGAATAAAACGGAAAAAAATTCTAAATAATAAGAATGAAAAAAAAAACAATGAAAATTGTGAGACTAACCCGTGTGTTGGTTGTGGAGTTCCAGGAGCGCTTTTTTTATGCACTGGTTGATTGGCATTCGCGTTGCTTACACTAGAATCTGACGCTGACCTCGACAGACTTTCCTCACCTCCGGAATGACTCGATCTTCTCGAACTCAACGGCCGTGTCGCTGAACCGTTGGTCGTTGGCTTTCGCTGCACTTGACTTGGACTGTCAGACAAAATTTTCACATTAATTATTTCATTAATTATCACAACTCTAAACTTGAATTTTAACAGTTTTTAATTGATTTCCTTTAGCAAAAGAAAAAGGTAGAATTAATTTTTAATTCCTGGTTTTCTTAGTTTTTCAAATTTTCTTTTTCAATTTTCTCAGACTTCGTACTCGATAATTAATTCTAAAAAAGTAGCAGAAAGTAGCTTTCAAACTAAAAAAAGTAGTAAAAGAGTAGCTATCAAAAAATTAAACTTGACGACCAAAAAAACTCGTTTTAGACTCTTTACAAAATTGAGAAAAATTCCATTCTATATTTTATTTTCCTGACTTTTTTCTAATTTTCATCAAAAATATTTACTTCTTTCTTATCCTATGCTAATAAATTGAATTCCTGCAACGAATTTTATTATTCATAAAACAATTTAAATATTTAAAAAAATAATTTAATTCTTGCGAAGAATTTTATAAAAATTTTGAAATAATTAATTTTTTTCGAATAATTTTATGCAAATTCTAATTTAAATAATTGAATTTCTGAGAAATTTGTATTATTCACGAAAAAAATTGAATTCTTACAAACATTTTTACAAAAGCTTTTCTAAATAATTGAATTCTGTTTGGAATTCAATTATTCAATTCAATTCTGTTTGGAAATTTTATGAAAATCATTGAATTGCGAAAAGTTTTTAAAAATAACTAAATTTTACAAAGAATTCTATTAAAATTTTTGAGAATAATTAAATGTCTGTGTAGCATTTTATTAAATTTCTTTGAAAATTATTAAATTCCAAAAAAGCATTTTATTATTCATGAAAATAATTGAATTCTTGCGAACGATTTTATTAGAATTTTTTAAAATAATTGAATTTCCAAGAAGAAATTTATTACTTTTAAAAATAATTCAATTCATTTGAAAAATTTAATAGAGAATTAAGAAATTAATAGATTTTGAATTCTTTTGAAAAATTTTGTGACAAATTAAGAAAAAAATTGAATTCTGCCGTGAAATTTTATTGAAAATAATTGAATTTTTGCAAAAATGTTACTATTTAAAAAAATAATTGAATTTTGCAAAGAATTTTATTAAAATGCCTCAAAATAATTGAATTTTCAGGAATAATTTTGTTATGTACCGACATAATTGAATTCGTTCGAAGAATTATTTATGTAACTAATTGAATTTTTTTGAAAGAATTCTATTAAAATCTAAAAGAATAATTGAATTATTTAAAAAAAATTTAATTAAAATTGTATTTAGAATAATTGATTTCTTTCGAACAATTTTATTAAAATATTTGAAAATAATTGAATTCTTCCAAAGAATTTAAAAAAACATTTTATTTAGATAAAGATTTCTTCGAGGAATTGAAATTGAATCTTTATGAATAATTACATTTTTCTAGAAATTCCTGTAAAATTGTATTAAAAATAATTGAAATCCTGCGATGAATTTTATTAGTTATGAAAATAATTAAATAGTTGCAAAGACTTTTATCAAAATTTTCAAAAATAATTGAATTTCTGAGAAGAATTTTATTATTTATGAAAATAATTGAATTTTTGCAAAGAATTTTACTATTTATAAAAATAATTGAATTTTTCCCAAGGATTTATTAAAATTTTCGAAAATAATTGAATTCTTGAGAAAAATATCATTAAAATGTTTAAAAATAATTGAATTTCTGTGAAAAATTTTGTTATTTTTGAAAATAATTGAATTCTCACTTTGAATTTTATAAAAAAAAATGTCAAAAAAATTGAATTTCCATGAAAAATGTTATTACTAATTTATTAGTGACTATAATTGAATTATTGTGAAAAATGGTATAAAAATTTTGTTAAATAATTTATTTTTTCGAATTTTTTTTGAAAAATCTATTCTAAATTGAATTCCTGTGGAAATTTGATTATTAAGGGAAATATTTGAATTGTGGATGAATTTTATCAATTTTTTTTTAAATAATTGAATTCTTTATTGCGGAATTGTATGATAATACTAGATATTGAAAATAATTGAATTTCGAATATTTTTTGAAAACAATTGAATCGTTTTAAATAATTTGATTATAACTTTTGAGAATAGTTTTTTGATTTCTAGTATATTAGCGAATTTAAAGTTGTATGTATATGAAAGTAGTATATTCTTATGATCTTATAATCTCGTTTGTGAAATTAGAATAAAAAAATAAAATAAAAAATAAAGAAAGGAAAAGAAAAGAAATAAAAAGAAAAGAGATAAAATAGTAAAAAAAATGCTGTTGATTAAAAAAATATTCGGTTCGAGATAAACCAAAAGTGAAGAAATCTCCCCCCTCGAAAAAAGAAGAAAGAAAAAACGAAAGATATGCCTCACCTGGACAAACTGACTCCGGCTTTCATCGCGTCTTCTAAATATCCTTGAAATTTGATTAGTTCTGTTCCTAATTTATCAAGTTTCTGACTCGATTCATTCAGTTGACCTTGTATACTTGTGGGATCGCCGAGAGCTGGATTTTGTTCATAGACGCCTTTCATTTTCATGAGACCGTCTCTCGCCGCCGTTTCTTGTTGTATTTTCGCATGAATCTCGTCAAGCCTCTGCTGTAATCTCTTTTTCCTTTGATTTGGAGGTAAATCACTGCAATCCTCCTTCACACCATCACCATAACCAGGTACATTATTCTAAAAAAAAGCGAAGAAAACCTTATTTTTTATATTCTTTCACTAAAAATAAATTAACATCACAAACCAACAAAAAAAAAATTCTTCACCCCATTCAATAAAAGCTCAAAAGCAAATTAAAGCATTAGGAATTTGCAAAAAAATGCTCAATTGGGTTATTTTCTAAAATATCTCGTGAAAAGCGTTAGAAATTAGCATTGGAAAAAAAAAATTCTACACTGGAAAAATGCAAAAAAGAATTCAAAAATTAATATCTTTAAGTCCAACAAAAATTTCCGGATCTGTATGAATTTATAATAAATAAAATAAAGAAAGAGAATTGTATAATTACTAAAGAATATAAAAATAATACTGTATATATAAAATAAATTTTAACTTATAATAAAATTCTAGAACTACCAACAAATCGTAAAATTTCGAAATTATCAAAAAAAAAAAAAATTAATAATAAAAATCTAATATTCCTTAAATAACTGGTAATAAAAATGAGAAAACAGACCTTTAAAGATATGCACACCTCGATCAACTTCTGTCGTTCGCATGAAACAAATCACAAAAGCGTGTCATTCAGCGGAAGTAACGAAATTTCGCTGTACATTAACAATAATGCAATATCAATTTTTAATTGCCAAAAAATCATTTTATTTCTTTTTTTTTCCTAAACTAGAAAAAGGAGAGAAAATCTCTCAATATTAATTACAAAAAACAAAATCAAAAAAACAAAAATTGAAAAATCAAAATCAAAATTAAACAATTTACAAAAATTGGAAATTGCATTTTGCAGGTGCGCTTTTTATTTATTCTTTATTTTACTCTGTTTGTTTGTTCATTTATCACACGTGGAGAAAAACATTGCTAAACAGGCAAACAAACGGATGTCCATTTATATTGTACTTACTATTTTTTTTGTTTATTTTACACGTTTGCATCCAAATTTTTTTTTATTTTTACATCCACGTTGTTGAATTGCATACAAGACACAGATCATTGGCAGAGAATTCGAATCATCCATCAAATATTAAAAGAAAAGCAGACAAAAGAAATTCAAATATTTTTTACACATAAATTTCTACGGGTTTTATTTTTCATATATTAAAATTAAAACTAAATATCAAGAATGTTGGTCACAAATTTATTTCTTTTCTTTCAATTAAAAATACTTTTTCTTTTAAATATTCATTTTATTTTGAAATTTTATTTGGTTCTTTAGAAAAATAAAAAACTTGGGACCAACAATTTTACACACAAAACATAAGAAATTATTTTTCTAGCAAAATTAAATTCAATTAAAACATTAAACGAATTAAATTTCCAAATATATTCTAATTTTTTTCAAATTTTATTTTACAATTTCAATATTTTAGACGATAAAAATTTATAAAACCTAAAATATTGAAATCTTTATACAGAGATTTATTTTTAATTTCAACTTTAATTAATTATCAAAACACAAATTTAATTAATTATTTTACGCAAGAATTCAATTATCGACAAAAATTTTAGTAAAAATCTTCAAAACAATTCAATTATTTTTTTTAAATAGTAAAATTTTTGAAAAAATTAAATTATTTTTAATAAAATCTTTGCTAAAATTCAATTATTCAAAATAAAATTTTCATAATACCTATTTATTATATTTGGAAAAAATTAATTATTTCAAACAATGTTTATAAAATTCTTATAAAGAATTCTATTACCTATTTTCAAAAATAACAATATTTTCACAAAAATTCAATTCTTTTTAAACATTTTAATAAAACTTTCAGGCAAGAATTCAATTATTTTATAAAATTTTAATAAATCCTTCGAAACAATTCAATTATTTTTTTAAATAGTAACATTTTTGTAAAAATTAAATTATTTTCAATAAAATTTCACGAAAGAATTCTATTTTTTCATAAATCGTTATAAAATTTTTCAAATGAATTCAATTATTTTTATAAATAGTAAAATTCTTCGCTACGACTTTTATAAATAATAAAATTTCTCAAAAGAATTCAATTTTTCAATACAATTTTACTTAAATTCCTCGAATGAATTTAAATTTTAATAAAATTCATTCAAGAATTTGAAAAATTATAATAAAATTTATCGAATACTTTCAATCATTTTCTTGAAAAATAAAATTATTTTCAGGAATTCAATTGTTGCTAAAAATTTTAGTAAAAATCTTCGAAGCAATTCAATTATTTTTTTAAATAATAAAATTCTTTGCAAGAATTTAATTATTTTCCAAAAAAATTTAAATAAAGAAAAAATTCAATTTTTACGAAATTTCTCGAAAGAATTCAATTATTTAAACAAATTGTAATGAAATTTTTTAAAGAAATTCAATTATTTTCAAAAATTTGAATAGAATTCTTCGAAAGAATATTTATACAGACACTTATTTTTAATTTTAATTTTAATTGTTTATCAACAAATTTATTAAATGTTTGTTTTAATTCAAAATGCTATTTTTTCATTTATTTTATTCCTTTTTTTAAAATTGACATTAAACAAGAAGCAAATAAATTAATTCTAGTAAAATTGTACAAAAATTACTAAAAGTTCATTTAGTCAATTTTTATTTCAATTATTTAGAATTAATATATTTTTTAAAAGGTTGTTTAAAAAAATTCAAAACAAATCGATTACGAATATTTCAGACTTCACAACTTTAAATTTCTTTCTCTTTGTAAAAATATGTCGAAAATTTAATGAAATCGTTAATTTTAATTTAATTAGTGCAGAATAAAAATAAAAATTAGAAATTAAATTATAAATTAGTTTTAAAAAATTATTTAAAATAAATTAAATACAAAAATGTTGAATAATTAAGTAAAAAAAGTTAATATTAACTAAAGTAATTAAAATTTTAATAATAACGATAATATAAAGGAAACTCAATCAAAATAGAAAATAATTAAAAAGTAGAAAAAATATAGATTCAAGATTAAAATCTTGATTATTAAAATAAATAAGTTAAAGTTAATAAAAAATTTGATAAATTTCAATAAAAAGATTAATAAAATAAATTATTTGTGACCTTAGATTTGTTAAAATAAATAAAATAAATAAATTGAATAAATTGAATAAATTAAATAAAACGAATTAATATAATGAATAATAAACGAAATAATAAATTATTTACAATATTAATAAAAAATTTATTTTCATGATTAAGAAAGAAATAATCACACTAAATCATTAAGTAAATTAACATAATTTTAATTTAATATGAAAAAAATTTTTAAAGTGTAAAAAAATAAATTTCGTTGCATTTGTTAGAAAAGCATTAAGGCAGCGGAGCCTGAAATAAATTATCTTCAATGCACCATTAATCTAAATACTTCCACCAATTAAATTATAGAAATAAATAAATTTAAGCAGAATATTTTTTTACAAAAAAGAAAAAAAATATTAAACAAAAATACGTGCAGTAATATTAATAATTGTGCTTTGCGTAAAAAAAAGAAAAACAGCAGCTTTTCTTTGCTTCAAAAAAAAAAAATTGATTGCTACAAAAAAATGTGTACAGAAAGAAATAGAATAAAATCTCATACCTTATTACTACTAAAAATATTGAAGATTCCAACTCTCTTTTTGATTTTGCCACCTGATACGGTGCCTTTAACCGTCAAATGATTATGTATCGGCTGCATAACAGGTTGGGATAATTGACTATTACTGTCATAATTTTTTGCCACAGAAAGATCTTCGAAGGGAAAATCGCCAGGTGGTTGAAAGCCACTTTTATAACGTTCAATCACCAAAAGCATGTCTGTCTTTTCATTGATCTCGTTAGCGGCTTTTTCTATTCCATCGAGACACTGGGCAATTATTGGAGCGACCGCACGTTCAATATCCACCGATTTCAACATGTAATTTCTCATATTTTTTATTCGCTTCTCATCGAGTTCCTAAAAAAACAAAAACGAAGAACAAATAATTTCAACCTTTCAAACTACAATAAATTTGAGGGAAAGTAGAAAATGTTTTCCTTTCACAATTTAGATATAAATTTCAGTTTTTTGTAAGTAACTTACAAAAAAAAATTAAATAGACTTACTGTAAGTCTATTTAATTTTTTTTATTTAATACCTATTTTTAATATTTAAATTTAATATTTCTTTTTGTTTATCTACTATTTTTATTACTATTTCTAATATTATTTCTAATAAATTAGTACCTAACGTAAAATTAATTTTAAAATAAATTTAATTTAATTTAAAATTTAATTTATTTTACAATATTAAAAGTTTAACAAACTATTTAAAATTACGAAACTAAATAAAAATTTAAATTCAATTTGAATTACATTTAATATCTGTCTCGAGTTTATTAAATTATTTAATATGATAAACACCTGTAAATGATGGAACACTTCCGGCATTGAAGTGTAATAATGCAGAGTTTGCATTTCATTCGTCTTCTGCAATTGATTTGCGTACTCCGTTTTCGCTTCTTCACTCTGCTGTGTTTTTAATGTCATGTTCATTCTCTGCTTTTCCACCTGAATAAACAAAATACATTTTTTATAAGAACAAAATTTTCTAATCTTCTCAAAAAAAAAAATAATTCCCTAATTTTTCCTCTCGCTCGTAATTTTGCAAAATAGGTATTTTTAAAAATTCTAATATAATATAATTCTTCCCTAGAATTCAATTATTTTTATAAATAAGAACATTTTAGAAAATAAATTTTTGAATAATTTTATAATCGAAAATAAAAAATTTTACTTATTAAGTAAATAATTAATTATTATTAATTATTCGGAAGAATTCAATTATTTTTATAAATAATAACATTATTTGGAAGAATTCAATTATTTTTATAAATGCTAAAATTCTTCGCAGGAATTCAATTATTTACAATTACAATAAAATTTTAATAAAATTTCAGGCAAGAATTCAATTATTTTATAAAATTTTAACAAATCCTTAGAAAAAATTCAATTATTTTTTAAAATAGTAATATCTTTGCAAAAATTCAATTATTTTCAATAAACTTTCACGAAAAAATTCAATTTTTTTCTTAATTCGTTACAAAAATTTGTCATAATAATTCAAAATCTATTATTTTCATAATTCTCTATAAAATTTTTCAAATAAATTCAATCATTTTTATAAATAGTAAAATTATTTGCAAAAATTCAGTTTATTTTTATAAACAATAAAATTATTTTCAGAATTTCAATTATTGACAAAAATTTTAGTAAAAATCTTCGAAGCAATTCAATGATTTTTATTAAATAATAAAATTCTTTGCAAGAATTCAATTATTTTTAAAACAATTTAAATAAAGAAAAAAATTCAATTTTAACGAAATTTCTCGAAAGAATTCAATGATTTAAGAAAATTGTAATGAAAATCTTCAAAAAACTTCAATTATTTTCAAAATTTTCAAAATTTTTAATAAAATTGCTTTAAAAAATATATTATTTTCAAAAATTCAGATAAAATTCACGAAGTTGAAGTCCACAACGTTTATCAACGAAAAAAATTTATTTAATACTTTCAAGTATTATTTTTAATTTAATATTTAATTGTAAATTAATTATTATCAAAATATAAGCATCAATATTTTTTTTTCTAAATATTTTTGTGTCAATATTGCTGCGCATTTTTAATTAATTTACTAAGTAAACAATTTTTTTCGTTGATCAACGTTGTGGACTTCAACTTGGTTAAAATTCTTCGAAACAATTCAATAATTTTCATAAATTGTAAAATTCTCCGCAAGAATTTAATTATTTTGATAAATTAGAAAATTCTTCGCAAGAATTAAAATATTTCCATACATAATAAAATTCTTCAAAGGAATTCAATTATTTTCATAAATAATAAAATTTGGCAGAGAAATTCAATTATTTTCAAAGCAATTTTAATAAAATTTCTCGAAAGAATACAATTATTTTTTAAAATATTATTTAAATTCAATTATTTTCAACAATTCTGATAAAATTCTTCGAAACAATTCAATTATTTTCATAAATTTTAAAATTCTTGGTAAGAATTCGATTATTTTTGTAAATAATAAAATTTATTCTTCTGACAAATTCAATTATTTTCCATACAATTTTAATAAAATTTCTCTAACAGGTTCAATTATTTTAAAAAATTGTAATAAAATTTTCTGAGAAGAATTTAATTATTTTCTAAAAATTTTCATAAAATTCAATTATTTAATTGTTTAACCTCAATTATTAAGAAACACGATTATTTTAAAAACTTGAAATAAATTGATCATAAAATTCAACAACTTTCAAAATTTTCAATTAACATTATTAAAGAAACTCCAATATTCAAAAAAAAAAAAATTAAAGAAATTCTTCAAAAGATTTTAATTAGGATTTTCAAAAATTTTAATAAAATTCTTTTCGAAAATTCAATTATTTTCAAAAAATTTTATTTAATTTCTTTTCAAGAATTCAATTGTTTTAATAAATAATAAAATTCTTCGAAGGAATTCAACCAATTTCAATCTTTTTGATTAAACATTCTTTGTAAGTATTCAATTATTTTTATAAATAATAAAATTCTTCGAAGGAATTTAAACAATTTATTTATTTTAAATCAAGATATTTTATATTGAGATATATTTATTAAAGTTCGAAGGAATGAAATACTTGATTAAAAATATATGTAAATATTTTTTCTTTTCGAAATTAACTTGGGAGTATGGGTAAAAATTTACCTCAGCCCTGGAGAGATTGAAATCAGCGTCAGCCCTTTGATAATTTTCAAGGGCTCGCTCTGCCTCGCGAAAAGCTTTCTCATAGGCTTTTCTTGCCCGCTCCAAATTTCCAATTTGGCCAGCCAAACTTGCTCGGAGTCTGATGCCTTCCTGCAGATGCTTCTTTCTATCCTCCTTGAATTCTTTGACGAGAATATTTAATTCTCGTAATACTGTTTCCTGCAGATTCTCTGCAATCACCTCCCTCTGTCCAGCCTGATCGTTAACTTCATTTAATTCTTTTCTAAACGCTCGACACGGACTATACCTGAAAAAAGGAAACTTCAGTTAATTTTCATTACTAGAAAATATTAATGATAATAATTATTTGTTTTGCCGTTGGGCTTTTTTCAAATAAAGAAAAAACTACTATGAATAAAAATAATAATAATTAATAATATAATATTAAATAAAATAAATAAATAAATAATAAAATAAATAGATAATAAAATAAATAAATAATATAATAAATAAATAATAAAATAAATAAAAATAATAAAAATAATAATAAAAGAATAATAAAAGAATAATAAAAGAATAAGAAAATATTTTTTTATTTCAGTTTTAAAAATCCAAAATACAATGTTTTTGGATAAAAAAAATTTCAATAAGAAAAATATAATTCTTGTGAAAACAAAATCTCTCTCAAAGGAATAAAAATGATTTCCCTTTGAGATTCTAATTTTACCTCTTGAATTATGATTCGAAAAGGCAAAAATTGAGGGGAAGAAAACTAATTCTGAAAATTCGATTGCAGTCTTTAAAGGCAGATGAAGATTGACGAAAATGATTAATGAGTTCATATATTATGTTCAAGTGCGCTACTGAATTTACGAAGCCTCCTACGCACTTTAAAAGAGTTGAACTTCTGTTTTCAATCATACACACAAGATCCATTAGAAGAAAAATAGCTTCTGCTTTAAAAGGATATTTTATCTTCCCCCCTTCTTTTTTTTTGCTAATAAACAAAGAAGAAAAATTTTCCAAGAAATACCGAAAGTTTAAAAAACAAAATACTCACTGATAATCTTCTTCCTCTTTCTTCTTCGGCTGATAAGTTTTCACTAAACGTCTGTAAAAAAACAAAGAATAATAAAATAATTACATTATTCATAAATTGACAAAAAATAAAATTTAAATAACAATTTTTGCTAATAGTTTTTTTCTATCACAAAAAAATAAAATTTATTTAAATAATAAATATTTTTGAAATACCTAATAATTTAATAATAAAATTATTTTATATTAAATTTTATATAAATAAAATTATTATTATTATTACATAATAATCGAAATAAATTTGTTTACTCGGAAACTGAAATTAATTACAATAATAATTTAAATATGAAAAAAAAACCTGAGATTATTATCCACAAGGAAGCTGATAAGACAATTTTCAAGTTGGACGAGTTTACAAACATAAAAACAAGAATCAATTCAATATTTTTCCTTTTTTTCTTTCTTAATGCGAAGGAGAAAAAATTTTCACTCAATATTATGTATATGAAATGTTTTGCGAATAAGTGGAAAATAGGAAGTTTAAAATATATTTGCTCACGCTCGTGAAAACGAATACATAACAAATTAGCGATGAAAGTAGAGTGATCATATATTTACGTAATACAAATCCAGGCCAACACCTGGTTTTCTTATACGTATATAATATATTTAAGAGAAAGAAAGAAAGAGAGAGAAATGCTAATCTCAATTTTTTTTCGATTTACTTTTTTATAATCAAAAACAAGATTTCGAAATTCAGATTTCTTTTTTTGTCAAATAAATTATATTCCGCATTGCTTTCTAATTATTTATTCAATTCTATTTTGTTCGAATGAGAAATGGCAAATTTTACCTCAAAAAAAAAAAAAAAAAAAAATCGGAAAAAATTTAAAAAAAAAAAGATTTTAAAGAGAATTTGAAATCGAAATACGAAAAGCACAATAAAAATATCGTTTATAAAATTATTAGAAAATACAGACTTCGCACTCGATAATTAATTTTAAAAGACTAGCAAAAAGTAGCTTTCAAACTAAAAAAGTAGCTATCGAAAAAATAAATTTGACGACCAAAAAAATTCGTTTTAGAAACTTTAACAAAACTGCCGAAAATAATATTTTACTTTTCCGATTTTTTCTTAATTTTCATAAAAAATAATTACTTCTTTCTTATCCTGCTAATAAATTGAATTCTTGCAACGAATTTTATTATTCATGAAAGAATTTAAATATTTAGAAAAATAATTTAATTCTTGCGAAGCATTTTATAAAAATTTTGAAATAATTGATTTTTTTTGACTAATTTTATGAAAATTCTAATTTAAATAATTGAATTTCTGAGAAATTTTTATTATTATTTTTAATATCATGAAAGGAATTGAATTCTCACGAAGACTTTTACAACAAATTTTTTAAATAATTAAATTCTGTTTGGAAAATTTATGAAAATATTTTATATTCAAAATCATTGAATTGTGAAAAGTTTTTTAAAGAAAAACTAAATTTTACAAAGAAATTTATTACAATTTTTGCAAATAATTGAATGCCTGTGTGGCATTTTATTAAATTTTTTTGCAAATTATTAAATTCCAAAGAAGCATTTTATTATTTATGAAAATAATTGAATTCTTGCGAATGATTTTATTAGAATTTTTTAAATAATTGAATTTTCGGAAATAATTTTGTTATTTATCTTTAATAATTGAATTCTTACGAAGAATTATTTATGTAAATAATTGAATTCTTGAGAAAAATTTCATCGCAGTATTTCAATTATTTTTAAAACAATTTTACAGAAATTGCTCAAAAAATGTCATTACTCTCAAAAATTTAATTTCAATTCTTAAAAAAAATTAATAATTTAAAGAAAAATTTTTTTTTAGTTCTATGTAAGAATTCAATTATTTACAAAAATATTAGTATTTTTCACAGGAATTCAATTATTTTCAAATATTTTTAAAAAATTGTTTGAAAGAAATCAATTATTTTAAATACAATTTTAATTAAATTTTTTTTGAAATAATTCAATTATTCTTTTAAATTTTAATAAAATTCTTTCCAAAAAATTCAATTAGATACATAAATAATTCTTCGAACGAATTCAATTATGTCGGTAAATAACAAAATTATTCCCGAAAATTAAATTATTTTTAGGCATTTTAAAAAAATTCGTTGCAAAATTCAATTATTTTCATAAATAAAAATATTCATCACTAGAATTCAATTATTTTTAAAAGTAATAATTTTCTTCTTGAAAATTCAATTATTTCAAAAATTCTAATAAAATCGTTCGCAAGAATTCAATTATTTTCAAAAATAACAAAATTTTTCACGGAAATTCAATTATTTTTAAAAGTAATAATTTTCCTCTTGGAAATTTAATTATTTCAAAAATTCTAATAAAATCGTTTGCAAGAATTCAATTATTTTGAAAAATAACAAAATGTTTCACAGAAATTCAATTCTTTTTAAACATTTTAATAAAATTTTTGAAAACTATTAAATTATTTTCATAAATCGTAAAATTCTTCTCAGGGATTCAATTATTTTTGAAAATTTTAATAAAATTCTTAGTAACTATTCAATTATTTTCATAAATAATAAAATTCATTGCAGGATTTCAATTATTTTTATAAAATCAATTATTTAAAAAAATGATTTTTTAAAATTCTTTGGAAGAATTCAATTATTTTTAAAAATATTAGAATTTTTCACAGAAATCCAATTATTTTCAAATATTTTAATAAAATTCTTCGAAAGAAATCAATTATTTTAAATAGAATTTGAATTGAATTTTTTATAAATAATTCAATTATTCATTTAGATTTTAATAAATTTTATTATTTATGACAATAATTGAATTATTGCGATAAATTTTATTTAAAAATTTAAAAAGAATTGAGTTTGTGTAAAAAAATATGTTATTTTTGAAAATAGTTGAATTGTTTTTAAGAATTTTATAAAAACTGTTTAAAATAATTAATTTTTTCGAAATATAATAAATAGGTATTCTGAAAATTTAATTTTCAATAATTGAATTCTTGTGGAAAACTTTATTTGTGATAGTAATTGAATTTTTCCATTAATTAATTTAAAAATTGATTTAATAATTGAATTTTGGATGAATTTTATCAATTTTTTTTTTTAAATAATTGAATTCTTAGGCGAAATTTTATGAAAATACTAGATATTGAAATTAATTGAATTTCGAATATTTTTTGAAAATAATTGAATCGTTTTAAAGAATTTGATTATAATTTTTGAGAATAATTTTTTGATTTCTAATATTAGCAAATTTAAAGTAGTGGAAATTCTAAAAAAAAAAAAAAAACAGAAATAGTAGCTTTTTGTAGCTGAAATCTAAAAAAAGTAACCAAATAAAGGAATAAAATGTTTTTTTGGTGAAATCACGATTGGTGTTTTTCCGTGTTTTCTAGGAATAAACTTTTAAACACAATTTGCGTCATTTGGAGAAAATATGACACCATCGAATGATGCTTTAACAAACCGGCACGTAGGCGCATAGACGTGCTTATTTGGTAAGCGAGATTTAACATAGTTTAGGAGCGGTTTCGTCTACTGGAAACATTGTTGCTTTAACGTGATAAAGAAAATAGACAAAAAAAAAACGATTGAGGAAACGTGAGAAATAAATCAAAAATTAAACTTGAACTGATATTGGAAAAAGAGTTTTTTTTTGCTAAAAAAGATACAAAAAAAACTAATTGAGAAACCTCTCATATGCGACGATGATGATAGTTTTAACACTTGTGAAAATGTTGTCGTTACAAGAAATTAGAAAACAGCTGTGTTTCTTTCGCGTATGTAAACTAAGGGTCAATGACAAGCAGTCGTCAACGTTAATTTACACAGGAATTTTTATGAATCAATTTCAGACATGAAATACATTCTTATATTTATTAGCACTAATTTCTATTTTCAAAATTTATTTTTCAAATTTCAATCAGAAATTTGGAAATTAAGACGCAGGAAATAATTTTTTTTCAATTTCAAAAGTTTGAAAAAGTTGATAAAATTTTTTTTGAAAATTGAAATTGAAAATCAAAAAAGAAAAATTTTTTTTGAAGCAAAAAGAATTTTATTTTTTAAAAGGCAGAAAAAATCTAAAGAAAAGAATTCAGAGAGAGTGAAACAATTCTCCAGAGTTGCGTTACATATTTTTTTTTTTCAGTGAAGAATTTCGAAAATATTCCCGAGTGGCGCTTCTATTTTTGACGTATACGAAAAGCGTGCGTAAGAAATTGCAACGCATTAAGATGAAAGACACACGTCGCATAATTTATGTCTTGTAGAATAAACGTGAGGGACATGAGGAGAGAATTGAAATGATACTCGTGAAGCTTACGCAAATTAATTAAATAAGTATATACCGGGAGTAAGAAAAACTCTCTCTCTCTCTCTCGAGATACACAAAAAATTACTTTTTGATCGAGAAAATATTCTATTCTTAAAAAAAAAAAAAAAACAGGAATTCAAATTCGAAATTTGAAAAAATTTCCAAATTCCTCAAAATTTTAACTGAACTTCTAACTAAATTTATTATTTGCCGCTGAGTAATAATGAAAACGTCATAGATAAATTATCTACAAAAAAGTAAATTAAAAAATTCTACAATAAAATTGAGACAAAATTCAACTTTCGAATGTTGTCAATAAAGATTTTCAATGTCTTGCCGAAGGAAAGAGGGAATAAAAAAAAGAAAGAGAAAGAGAGAAATAAATAACGAAAACAAATGAAATGCACCACAGTGGAGGGCATTCACGAGACAAACAAGGGGACCTTTAATACAATATTACCGGCTTGAAAGTCCCTGAACTCATGAGATGCGTGAGATACAAACTTCTCTGGTTCGCGACATAATTTGAAAGGTCGACAAGCAACTCTGGACAATTTTTTTCTTCATATTCCGCTCAAAGAAAGCTACTCTCTGAACAATTTTTTTCTTCATATTCCGCTCAAAGAAAGACAGAACAGAAGAAGGATTTTCTTTTAATCGCACAGTGAGTGAATAATTTCGTGTGCGAAAACCTTGAAATTAAACAACTCGTGAAATCCATGGAATTAATCATTCAAAAATTCTCTTCCATTTCGACGATGAAAAATAAACACTCCAAATTTGATTCTTCATTTTTGATGAAAATTTTTCCACAAACAGACTTCGCACTCGATAATTAATTTAAAAAAAGTAGCTTTCAAACTAAAAAAAATTGAATGTCTGTGGCATTTTATTAAATTTTTTGAAAATTATTGAATTTCTAAAAAGCAATTTATCATTTATTAAAATAATTAAATTCTTGCGAAAAATTTTATTAGAAAATTTTAAAATAATTTAATTTCCAAGAAGAAATTTATGACTTTTAAAAATAATTGAATTCTTCTGATGAATATTATTATTTATGAAAATAATTGAATTTTGCAAAGAATTTTATTTAAAATGCCTCAAAAGAATTGAATTTGCGGGAATAATTTTGTTATTCATCTTTAATAATTGAATTCTTTCGAAGAACTATTTATGTAAATAATTGAATTCTTCGGAAAAATTTAATTAAAATCTAAAAGAATAATTTACATAATTATTTTTAAAAAATTTAATTAAAATTGTATTTAAAGTAATTGACTAATCATCATATTTTAGGGGCCGTCCATAAACCACGTAGCCCCATTTTTTGGGAATTTTGACCCCCCCCCCTCCCCCCATGTAGTACGCTATTACATGTATTAGCGCCATTTTTTCCTCTTGTCGTAGTCAATTGCGTGACCCCCCCCCCTCCCCCTCAAGAGGCTACGTGGTTTATGGATGGCCCCTTATTCAATTCTCAATCAATTCTTATTATAAAGTTATACAAGAATTCAATTATTTCAACACAAAAATAAATAATTTATTGAATAATTGAATATTTCTTAAATTTTAATTCTCATAAAGGACTTTATCAATATTTTTTAAAATAATTGCATTTTTACGAAGAATTGCATTAAAATTTTTGATAATAATTGATATCATTCAAAAAATGTAATTTAAAATGAATTGAAAATAATTATTACACTCTAAGAAAACAATTATATCAAATTTTTTTAATAATTGAATTTTTTCGAAGAAATTTAATAAAATTTTCAAAAACAATTGCGTTTTCAGCGAAAGTAATTTAAAATTATCTTAAAAATAATCTGAAATCCTGCGTTGAGTTTTATTATTTATGAAACTAATTGAATTTTTGTCACCGAACTTTAATAAAGTTTTTAAAATAATTGCATTCTTGAGAAGAATTTTAAAAAAATCATTTAAAAGAAATTATTTTTTTCAAAAAATTTTATGAAAATTGTGTTTCATGAAAATAATTGAATAGTTGCGAAAAATGTTATTAAAATATTTAAAAAGAATTGAATTTTTGTGAAAAATTTTGTTATTTTTTTAAAATAATTGAATTTCCAAGAAGAAATTTATTACTTTTAAAAATAATTGAATTCGTTTGAAAAATTTTATAGAGAATTAAGTAATTAATAGATTTTGAATTCTTTTGAAAAATTTTTGTAATGAATTAAGAAAAAAATTGAATTCTGTCGTGAAATTTTATTGAAAATAATTAAATTCTTGTGATGAATATTGTTATTTATAAAAATAATTGAATTTTGCAAAGAATTTTATTAAAATACCTCAAAATAATTGAATTTTCAGAAATAATTTTGTTATTTATCGACATAATTGGATTCTTTCGAAGAATTATTTATGTAACTAATTGAATTTTTTGGGAAGATTTTTATTATGAAAATAATTGGATTCCTTTGAAAAATTCTAATATTTTTATAAATAATTGAATTCTTACAAAGAATTAAAAAAAACATATTTTTAAATAATTGATTTTTTCAAGGAATTGAAATTAAATTTTTAAGAATAATTTAATTTTTCGATTAATTAATTTAAAATAGTACTAAAAATAATTGAAATTGTTCGATGAGTTTTATTATTTATGGAAATAATTGAATTGTTGCTTAGAATTTTATCAAAAATTTTTCTAAAAAATTGAATTTTTATGAAAAATGTTATTAATAGTGAAAGTAATAGAATTATTGTGAAGAATTGTATAAAAATTTTGTTAAATAATTGTTTTTTTCGTAATTTTTCTGAAATGATATTCTAAATTAATTGAATTCCCGTGGAAATTTTATTATTTATGAAAATAATCGAATTTTAGATGAATTCTTGTGAAAAACTTTATTTGTGAAAATAATTGAATTTCTTGATTAATTAATTTAAAATAGTATTAAAACTAATTGAAATTCTTCGATGAGTTTGATTATTTATGAAAAGGATTGAATTCTTGCTTAGAATTTTATCAAAAATTTATTTTAAAAATGGAATTTCAATGATGAAACTTAGTTGATGAGTTTGATTATTTATGAAAATGATTGAATTCTTGCTTAGAAAGAATTTTATCAAAAATTTATTTAAAAAATGGAATTTCAATGATAAGTGTTATCATTAGTGAAAGTAATTGAATTGTTGTAAAGAATTGTATAAAAATTTTGTTAAGTAATTGATTTTTTCGAAATTTTTTTGAAAATCCTATTCTAAATTAATTGAATTCCTGTGGAAATTTTATTATTTATGAAAATAATTGAATTTTATCAATTTTTTGAAAATAATTGAATCGTTTTAAAGAATTTGATTACAATTTTTTCGAATAGTTTTTTTATTTCTAGTATTAGCGAATTTAAAGTAGTTGAAATTCTAAAAAAAAACAGAAATAGTAGCTTTTAGTGGCTAAAATCTAAAAAAGTACCCAAATAGTAGAGTAACGTAAAAAAGTAGTAAATAGTAGGTTTTAGTAGATGAGTGCGAAGCCTGCACTAAATTAAAATTCGAATTCTTCTTTTCGAAATTTGATGACACTCTCTGAAGAAAGCAGCAAATAAAGGGAATTTCAGTTTATTCCACAGATTTTAGAAAATCATTTTTCATTACCTGAAATCAAACAAATTTTATTGAATACTCGAAAGTAATCGACTTGAACGTTAAATATTTTATATCCAGAATATTGATTATCTATTTTTTCTCTGTTTTCGCTCCAAATTGTCGTATTGTCAAATAGTTTCTTTCTCCACTCAGCGTTACAATAAAACAAAAATAAATAAAATAGAAGAATTAATGAGAAAAAAGGGAAAAAATTTACCTCAATTTCGCGGCATATTCTTCCTCTATCGCACATCGGTCACGTATGAAATGTCCATAGCGTTCCAGAAATTCTATTCCCTTTTGAGTGTGGAGGGACAGATTCTCGAACTGGTCCTGCAATGAAAATATTTATAATTAATAAAATAAAATTCGACGCTGTAAATAATAATTAATAAAATAATATTCGGCACTATAAATAATAATAATAATAATACAAACAGTGAAAATTACAATAAAAATAAAAATAACGAGAAGGAAGAGCAAGAAAAATAAGAACAAGAATAAAAATAACAAGAAATAAGAAATAAGAATAAGAATAAGAAATAAAGACAAGAATAACAATAGAAATCAAGAAACTAATAAAAATTGAAACAAAACTTTCTGTAACGCCTTATAACAATCTCTCCTCTCGATTCATTATTATGATAATAATATAGTGATATAATAATAAATGAGGCAAGAACCTTTATAGAAATTATAAATACTTAAATCGATTCGCGTTTATACATTAGATCCCTGACCCTAGACAGACTTTCGTGACTTGTGAACTTATCACGAAACAGTGATTGTGTGTATACAGGCAAGTCAAGTGAAATGCTTGATTCAACGATATAAACATTTTTCTATTTTTAGAAATAAAAAAAAAACCCCCTCTCTAATAATTTCTCGAAAGACAATTATCGGAAAACAAAAGTTTATTTAGTCCCTAGACATGTTTACATAATCTCCACATATTTACTATGTGTACAAATATATATTATCACTTCCCTCGATGCTAAATAAATAGAAATTATTTTCCTCGCACAATTTAGGAAATGTTGAAATTAAACAAAATTTTTTAATATTTTTAATTAAATAAATATTTTTTCTTAGATGTTTAAATTTTATTCTACAACCAGAGAATAAATAAAACGTAATTTTGTAAATAAACTTTTATTTGAACAAAATTTTACTAATATTTTATTCGTTTCACTATTGATGAATGAATATCGATGATAAATCGAAATTAACTCCTCTCTAAATATTTTTCTACATACGCAAATACTAAAATCAATTCTAACTTATATTGTAACTTTCTAAAATTTTCCCATTATAATTTTGCAATTTATGAGACAATTTGCGAAAGTCAAATATATTTATAATTTTTTTTTTCACCTTTCTTGTATTTTAATAAAAAAGAAAAAATTATTTTCCTAATCAGAAACCTTATAAATTGTAATATATATTTAACACATAGCACATAAAAACATTTTTAATCACGTTTTAACTCGATCTCAGTCACTAGGTTAGAGAGACATGAGTGAAACTCGATTATAAGTCCTTTGTAAAATCGTCTTATCGGAGTTCCACTTTTTTTTCTCTTCGATTTCCAGTCCTCTTTTCTAGTGCAAAACGTGCTCTATCGTTTATATTTAACTACGCTTCAAAGATTTCTATAACTCGCATTTGTCATATTTAGAATAATAAAAATAAATCACAACAGAAATTATTGTCAGACAATTGAGGCAATATTTTTGCATAATTATTTAAATTAATAGAAACACAGGCTTCTTACTCGATAATTAATTTTAAAAAAGTAACAAAAAGTGGTTTTAAGACTGAAAAAAGTCGAAAAAATAAACTTGACGACTCATTTTTTTTCATAGTTTCTAAATAAAATAAATTAAATTACATTAAAAGAAAATAAATATTATAAATAAATCTATCAGTTTTGCAACGAATTTTATTAAAGTTTTTAGAAATAATTGATTTCCTGAGAAGAATTTTATTATTTATAAAAATAATTGAATTCTGGCGCAGAATTTTTCAAAAATTTTTTTTAAATAATAGATTTACTTCGAAAAATTTTATGAAAATTTTGTTTAAAACAATTGAATTCCAGGAAAAATTAAATTAGGTTTTTGAAAATAATTGAATTTTTTAGAAGAATTTTAAGAAAATTTAAAAAAATAATTCAATTATTTAGAATACTTTATTTAAAATTGTATTAAAAATAATTGATATCTTGCGATGATTTTTATTATTTATAAAAAATAATTGAATTCTTTGCAATGAATTTTATTAGTTATTACAATTTTTTTAAAATAATTGAATTCTTGCTAAGAACTTTATAATTTTTTTTTTAAATAATCGAATTCTTGCGAAGAATTTTGTATTAAAATAGTAGATATTGAAAATAATTGAATTTCGAAAAATGTTTGTAAATAATTGAATCGTTTGAAAGATTTTATTAAAATTTTTTTGAATTCTTTTCACACTGAAAAAAAAAAATTATTTGATTCAAATAACCGATTAATTGACTATTATCAATTAAATATTCAATTGAATCAAATAATAATTATTGGAGTCAATTAAATGGTATTTGCTTCAAATACTGAAATTATTGGTTCAAATACCATTTAATTAACTCCAATAAATATTATATTGATTTACGTAAATATTTAATTGATAATAGTCAAATAATCGGTTATTTGAATCAAATATTTTTTTTCAGTGTAAGAATTTTATAAAAAATTTTGAAAATTCTACTTTTTAATTAAATGTTTCCCTATTTTTACCAACTTTCATAATTTAGAGTAAAATTCCACATTTTTATTCTCGAAAATTTGCGTCAATAATAAAATTTTGCAATTTTCGGAATTTTTTACTGCAGAGAATAAAATTAAAAATTTTACCAGAGCAAAAACTCTGTAAATGCGGTAAAAATTGTGAGAATTTATTCAAAAATTGAATTGAAACGTTAAAGGAAAATAAATAAATAAACAAAAAAAAGGGACGCGTGGACATGAAGAGGAGAAGATGCACTTAATTGTGACGGACGCAATGGATGATCTTTGGTTCCAACAATGTATAGTTGTCGTCGAGTTCCTTAGTTTGACTTGAATACTATCAGACGTTGAACTTTTATTAGTGACACCGCCTCTGCACTTTCTCGGGCATAAGTTTCCAACCTATATGACTGCACATGCGTGTATACTCTGTAGAAAACCGCATATTAAGAACGATCCGGTTACCACTATATACTGTATATACACACATGTTTACTCTCATTGTGGGTTCGCTAATAAAACTTTCTGAATATTTAAACACTGAAAAAAAACAAATTTTTTTCAACATTAAACAATTCAAATTCTCAAATTCAATTAAATTCTTCAGATTCGATTATTATTAAGAATTAAAATGTTTGTTTAAAATTCCTTGGCAGAATTCAAATATTTACACAAATATTAACATTTTTCACAGGATTTCAATTATTTTCAAATATTTTAATCAAAATTTTCGAAAGAAATCCATTATTTTAAATACAATTTTAATTAAATTTTGTTTGAAATAATTCGATTATTCGTTTAGATTTTAATAAAATTATTCCCAAGAATTCAAATATTTGCATAAATAATTCTTCGAATGAATTCAATTATTAAAGATAAATAACAAAATTATTCCCGAAAATTCAATTATTTTGAAGCATTTAAATAAAGATCTTTGCAAAATTCAATTATTTCCATAAATAACAATATTCATTACAATAATTTAATTATTTTTAAAAGTAATAAATTTTTTTGTAAAAAATCAATTATTTTCAAAAAAAACAAAATTTTTCACAGAAATTCAATTTTAATAAAATTTTTCGCATTTATTCAATTATTTTCATAAATGACAATATTCATCACAATAATTCAATTATTTTTAAAAGTAATAAATTTTTTTGTAAAAAATCAATTATTTAAAAAAAATTCTAATAAAATCGTTCGCAAGAATTCAATTATTGTCTAAAATTTTAATTGAATTCTTTGTAAAATTTAATTATTTTTAAAAACTTTTCAGAATTCAATGATTTTTGATATCTACTATTTTCATAAAATTTCCAAACAGAATTCAATTATTTAAAAAATGTTTTGTAAATATCTTCGTAAGAATTCAATTCCTTTCATGAATAATAAAAATTTCTCAGGAATTCAATTATTTAAATTAGAATTTTCATAAAATTAGACGCAAGAAATCAATTATTTAAAAAATTTTATAAAATTCTTCCCAAGAATTAAATTATTTTCAAAAATTTTAATGAAATTCTTTTTAAAAATTCAATTTTTTTCCAAATAATTTTAATTAAATTGATCATAGAAATTTAATTAATTTTAAAAATTGGTCAATATTCAATAATTATTTTCAATGTCTACTATTTTAATAAAATTTCACAAAAGAATTCAATTATTTAAAAAGAAATTTTAATAAAAGTTCGTCTCCAGAATTCAATTAGTTTCAAAAGTAATAAAATTCTTCGCAGAAATTTAATTATGGTCTAAAGTTTAAAAGTTATCGTCAAAATTTCAATTATCTTTATGAATAATAAAATTTTTCTCCAAAATTCAATTATTTTCAAAAATTTGAATAAAATTCTTGCGGCAAAATTTCAATTATTTTCAAAAACTCTTCTTAATTCAATCAAATTTTTTACAGTGATTCAATTATTTTTAATGCAATTTATTATTTTCGTAAATATTAATTAATTCTTTTTAAGAATTCAATTATTTTCATAAATAATAAAATTTTCACAGGAACTTAATTATTTTCAAACACAATTTTCATAAAATTTCTCAAAAAAAAAATCAATAATTTAAAATGATTTTTATAAAATTTTTCGCTAGAATTCTATTATTTAAAAATTTTCAATTATTTTTAAAAATTTAAATAAAATTGTTGGTATCAATTCAATTATTTAAAAAAATTTAATAAAATTCTGGGCAAACCTTTAATTATTTTCATAAAATAATAAAAATTTCACAGGAATTCAATTATTTATAAATTTCTTTGCAATCATTCAATTATTTTCATGAATAATAAAACTCATCATAGAATTTCAATTATTTTTAATACAATATTTTAATCAAATTCCTCGAAAAATGTAATTATTCTTAAAAATTTTATTAAAATTCGTCAAAAGAATTCAATTATTTGAAATCTGAATTTTTCATATTTTTAATTAACAATTTTGTGGAATTAATTTTTTTGAAAAAGTTTAATTGGATTTTTTTTAAGTTATTTGAAGTTTTTATTTTCTAATATATATTTTATTGAGGAATTTCCGAATAATCGATAAAATTTCGTAAAATTGA